CTGCCTCTGGCTCTCCACATCCTGGACGGCTGATATGAATATCGTTTCCAGCCCTCTCCATGGGAGATCTTCAGCCTCAGTACTGTCCACTCCTGGAGGAAAGGGGTCTTCGATCCCAACTGGGCCCTCATGGGCACCTACCTTGTGTCATGCCTGGAACCCTGGGGGGCAAGGATGAGCCTCCCCTTTGTGCAGATGGGGAAACGATCGATTGTCTCAAACTGTGCACCAGTTCGGTGCAGCTGCAGAGGCAGGCGCGGTTGTGTGGGGCTGGCGTGCCCTCTAGCGGCCACCGTGCGCCACACTCCGCCCCGCAGCTAGAGCTGCCCAAGGTCCGACTGGCAGCCGTCGACTGGCAGGGAAGTCCCTTCTTGGAGCCATCCGCGGTCCAGCGTGCTGCTGCCCCACCTCACCCGGGCTGACAACAGTCTCTCCCAGGCTCTCTCCACTCATGGTTTCCCAGAGACCCCACAGCGGCTGGGCGCCCCGCCCCGATTGCCATGGAGACCGCTTATACACAGTTTCCCCCTTCCCCTCCACCTTGTCCTAGGTAGGGCCGGCAGGCCGCCGGGGCGGGCGGCCACGGCCGCCACGGCCCCATGAACAGCAGGGCCCCAGGGACGCTGGCCGTGGAAAGAGTGAAATTCTTCGGCCAGCACCGCGGGGAGGTGAGGCCCTGTAGATCTCTGCCCAGATCTTAGGCTTCTTGGCTTTAGAGTGGTTTCTGGTTCTGTGTAGTGGGAGTCCGAGTGTTCTCTGGGCTCCAGTTGCGGAATGGGCTCTAGAATTCTAAGCACTGGTTCCACAGGGGGCTCAAACTCCTGGCTAATTCCAATGCTCTTTGGACTCTGGCTTAAGAGGGAACTCGGGGCTTAGAGTAGATTTTGAACGAGTTCTGGGCTTCAGCTCTAGAATGGGCTCTTGGCTTCTACAGAAGGCTGCAGCCTCTGGCTTCAGTGAGGGCTCGCTCTGAGCTTCAGGTTCTGGTCTTTTTTTTTTTTTAAGTTTTGGCTGTGTTCAGTCTTCATTGTTGCGCACGGGTTTTCTTTAGTTGCGTCCAGCGGGTGCTACTCTTTGTTGCGATGTGCAGGTTTCTCATTGTGGTGGCTTCTCTTGTTGCGGAGCACGGGCTCTAGGCATGCAGGCTTCAGTAGCTGTGGAACGCGGGCTCAGTAGTTATGGCTCATGGGCTCTAGAGCGCAGGCTCAGTAGTTGTGGCGCACGGTCTCAGTTGCTCCGTGGCATGTAGGATCTTCCCAGACCAGGGCTCGAACCCATGTGCCCTGCATTGGCAGGCGGATTCTTAACCACTGTGCCACCAGGGAAGGAAGCCCCAGGGTCTGGTCTTACAGGACAGCAGAGAGGGCTCCAAGCTCTCGGCTCCCCTGCAGGGTGGTTCCTGAGTTCTGGTTGTTGAGAGAAGCCTGAAGTCCAAGCTCCCAACCCCAGGCTCCTGGGGCAGTATTTATGGCTGGCCCAGGAGTCTGGGGTTAGGGATGAGCAGAAAGGTGTTTCTTGCCCCAGGATAGGACTTTTGTGCTCTCCTTGCAGGTCAACTCTTCTGCCTTCTCTCCCGATGGCCAGAAGCTGCTCACAGCCTCTGAGGATGGCTGTGTATATGGATGGGAGACCCAGAGCGGGCGGCTGCTGTGGAGATACAGGTGGGGCTCTTCACCCCAGATGGGGAGACTGAGGCATATGGCCCTGTTGTGGCTTTCTACAGAGCCTACAATGACCTCTGACATCTGAGCTGAGCATCCATGCAAGACAGCCCAGGCAGGGCAGGGGCGGGAGGGCAAGGAGACAGGACCTGGTCCCTGGGGTCCTAAGTCTCTGACTCTAACAGACCTGGACTCAAATCCTACCACTTAAAAAAAAAAAACTTTAAAAATCTACATAATACCCTATTAACCATTTTAAAGTGTACAGTTCAGTAAAGTACATTCACACTGCTGTGCATCTAGCTTCCAGAAGTTTCTTCGTATCTTGCAAAACTGAAATTCTATACCCATTAAACTCCCCATTCCTCCCTTTTCCCAGCCCCTGACAATCACCGTCCTGCCTTCTGTTTCCATTTTGACTAAGTACAATACCTGGTATAAGTGGAATCACACACTATTTCTTTTGGTGACTGATTTCACTTAGCATAATGTCCATCTATGTTTACCCACTTTTTTGACTGTGATTGAACTCAAGTCATGTCACCTTCTCTGCACCTATTTCCTCTTCGGAATGGGGATAATAGTTGCTACGCTATAGGATGAGATAATGCAAGCAAAGTACCTGGCACCCAGTAAGAACTCAGTAGACGTAACTTATGATTATTAAGACAAGAAAAAACAAATCTGGTAATTATAGGGCAGATTGATTCGTGTCGTAATAGGGAAAGTCCAGGGGCTGGGGAGCTCTAAGAGGGTAATGAACCTACGCTGGGCTGTCAAGGAGTTTCTGGGAGGTGTCTGCATTTGATTTGGGTATTGATCTTCCAAATAGGCAAACTGAGTTGGGCATTCCAGACCAAGGCATGGAAGCCCAGGAATTTTCCAAGTGGCTGGAGGGTGAGGGTTAGAAGTGAGGAGAGGGGCGGTAGGCAATGAGACTGAAGAAATTAGCAGGGGTTGGACTGCAAGGGCCAGAGGTGGAGCGCAGTGCCCCGTTCCTTGACCACGGCCGCCCACCTAGGCCCCCGTGAGGTTCTGCCGCTTCTCCCCCGATGGTTGCCTCTTTGCCAGCACCTCCTGTGACTGCACCATCCGCCTGTGGGATGTAGCAGAAGCCAAGTGTCTGCAGGTCCTACAGGGTAAGTGGGCTGGGTGGGACTGGGAGCCAAGCAGCCAGGCCTGGTTTCCCTTTCGGACCTTGCTGTGTCCTGTGCCACCTCACCCCTGCCTCGCCCCCTGGCCGGTGCCTGCAGGTCACCAGTGAAGTGTGGAGACCATCAGCTTCAGCCCTGAATCAAAGCAACTGGCATCAGGCGGCTGGGACAAGAGGGTGATGCTCTGGGAGGCGCAGGTAGGTGGAGGGGCAGCCAGTGAGGCCTGGGATCCAGGGATGCACACCGTCCACAGTGGCCACACTTTCCAACTGGGAAAGGTTGTTCATCTTCCCCACCCCTGGCATCCCATTCCCTTGCATCTGGCTGCAGCTACCTCCCCAGTTCCCCTCTCCCTACCCTCATGCCTCAAGACCTCTGCCACGAGATTCCCCCTGCCTGTACTGCCCTCCTCTCTTGCCAAGGCCCGGGAAGCCTCCCCTAACCCCTATGCTGCATCACACTACCCAGGCAGCCCCACAAGGAGGGCCTGGGTCTGACTCACCTGAGGCAGAGAACCTGGCACGCAGCCTCTGGGCTCTTTCCTCCAGTCAGGCCAGGTGCTGCGCCACTTGGTGGGACACCGAGACTGTCCCAAGCAGTGACTTTGCACCCAGCTCAGACTGCTTGGTGAGCCACACCTCTGCCCGGGCCCCACCTCAGTGGCCTAACAAGCGGTTAGAATTCTACACCTTGACAGTGACTTAGCTCTTCTGAGCCTGTCCCCTCCTCTGTAAGATGGGGATTCAACAGGGCTTGGTGAGATGGTGCCTGCTTTCTGTGAGCCTAGCCAGTCGAGGAACCGGGAGGGACCATGCTTATGGCGGCTGTCTGCAAGGCCACGGGCTCTTGGGATTCCACCATCCGCACGTGGGAGCTTCGGGCAGGGACTCCAGTGATCTTCCAGCAGGAGCTGGAGGGCCACAGTGGCAACGTCAGCTGCCTGTGCTACTCAGCATCTGGCCTATTGGTGGGCTGGGTTGCCTAGGTTCCAGGGTGGCCCCTTGCTGACTACAACTCTTTGAGGGTCACTCTTTGAGGCCATTTTGGGGGCAGAGTATGCAGGCCCCAAACCTCTATGCTTAGAGCTGTCTACTTTCCAGGTGTCCGGCTCCTGGGACAAGACTATCCACATCTGGAAGCCCTCAACCGGAAGCCTGCCTGTCCAGCTTAAGGGCCACATCACCTGGGTGAAGAGCAGAGCTTTCTCCCCTGATGGGCTGCAGGTGGCCAGCACTGGCTACTCCCACATGGTAACCCCACCCCATCAGGCCTTCCTTCCTGTGAACTCCTACCCCACATCCTCCCTACCGGAGCCCTCAGCACCTCATGTCCAGAAATGTCCACATCCCTATCTGCCCTAAATAGGAGGCTACCAAGGGCAGGACCCAGGTGCCAACCACTTCCTTACCGAATGCCTGGCACTAAGGTCTGCACTGGCCCAAATGTTAGTGGCACTGACATTTCTATGACTCGGCTTCAGGGGAAAGGAAAGTACTGCACTGAATTTCTGTATCAGCTATTACGCAGCCCTTGTTAAACACACCTCACAGACAACAAAACCCAGATCAAGAAGTTAACATGTTGGCTAAGACTCACCCCAGTGTGATTTTGTCAAAGATGCCAGGCTTGCCTATGAGGCTTCCCTACCCCCCAGCTTGTTTTGATTTCCAGGTCAAAGTCTGGGACTACAATACAGGAAAGAGCATTGAGACCCTGAAGGTAAGGTCTGTGGCTACAGCAAACAAGGGTGCAGAGGAAGGCCTGCTAGGGGAGGCCCGCACCCACAGAGCCCCATACCATGCTTTTGGCAGGGAGTCCTGGATGTGGCCCACGCCTGTGCCTTTACCCCAGATGGGAAACTCTGAGTGTCTGGAGCTGCTGCTTAGGCAAAATTCCAAGTTCACTGCAAATCGCCCAGAGCTGCTCAAACAGAACATCACTACCTATGGCTCTCAAGACCTTCCACCCCTGCTTCTCCCTGCCCAGGGGGCACAGGACCAAAATAACCATAAGAGTGTCCAACAGGCCCCTGTGGCCAGGGCTGCCATGGCCCCCCACCAGGGCCACCACCAGCAGCAGGCCAGCCTGCTGGGATCCATCAGACACCAGGTAACCGTAACCAGGGCCGCACCAGCCCACCTCTCCGGCACTTAGTAGAAACCCCTATAAACACAAAGCAACACCAGCCAGTTTGTTTGTTTTATTGACACCTGGATGCTCAGGCCTTGACCGCGTACTTCCGGAGTGGGTACAGCCGCTCCTTCCGCTGCTGCTTCTTGGTCTTCAGGTTCTCTTCGTGTTTGTTGAGCCGGCGGCGCATGGCACGCGTTTTCTTGGGCCGCAGATCCAGGGGCTTGTACTTCTTGCCCTGGGTGAGGGGGAGTGGGGGAACATGAGGACCAGGGTTTGGGAGCTACTGCGGTAGCTAAGGAAGCCACAGAGTCGGAACTGAGACGCTGGGATGTGCCTGGGGAGATGCAAGCGTGAGGAGCTGTAGGACACCCAGCCCAGGAGGGGACTGGAGACTGAAGTGTTGCCAGGCCATACTTTGCTTCCTAGCTCTTTAATTCCCCCAAGTTCAAGGCTGGGAAGGACTGTCCTCATTTTCTTTAAGTATATTGATTTGCTGGGCTAGGAAGTAATTTTGCCCAAATCTCAGTGAAGCTGTAGTGGAACTTAGGGTGCACACCCAAGTCAGCCCACTCCCTACTTGGTGCTCTTTCCACCAGATTGCCAGCCGTGCAGTCAACGTCACACCCCAACCCAGCAAGGGATGTCTGGTGCCCACCGAGTCCTGGGGGCATTTCCTGTTATCTTGGCTTAAATTATGTGTGTGTGTACAGGAGGGTGAGATGTGCAGCTTAAGCTGGTGCTCAATTTATCTGAAGGACCTGCCAGGTACCTGTGGTGACATTCCCACCGAACACATGCATCTCAGAGGGAAGACCTGGCTCGGCCGAGACCATCCTGCTATGAGTGGCCAAGCCCCCCTTCCTGACTTGGCTCCTGCTCCTAGACCTTTCTCAGGGCATTGTCTCTCCATCTCTGCTCCCACTCGTTCCCGACCCACTTCCTCCTCAGTGAGGAGTCTAGGCTAAGGCAGCTCTCATGGTCCCCTTTGTTCTGCAAAGGTCCCCTGGGGGCTCTTCAGTTTGAGGCCCTGTGCTGGGTGCTGGTTTAGCTACAAATGAGACCTGCTCCCTGCTCAAGGAGCTCCCAGCACAGTGGAAAACGGAGAACAAGTGGTGCATCAGTGTGGAGGAGGAAAGAGATTAAGGAAGGTTTCACCTAAATGACTGACAACAGCCTTGAAAGCAACGGGCACGTCAACTGCAAGAGAAACCAGAGTGGGCACAAAAGCCCTGAAAAGTGACAGCTCAGGCTGGGAGCTGCCAACAGCCTGGAGGGGTAGGCACATGGCAGGCGTATGTGAGCTAAGCGGGGTTCAGGTCATGAACAGCCTCAGTGCAGAGAACTGCAGGGAAAAAGCTAAGCAGGAGATGAGGGCAAGCTCTGTGGGGGGACCTGGAAGCATGAATGTCTGTCCACCCACATCCCTCATATCAGTTGGTACAGGTCAGGGCTTCATCTGTTTCCAATTTACCAAGCACCTTAGAGCTCTGCTGTCCAAGAGTGGCCACTAGCCACACACACTGTTTACATCCTTCAGTCACTGTGGCCACATAAGCACTTAATAGGCACGCATGGCCAGAGGTTACTGTATCGAACATCAACATCTCTCATAGAGACCTTACCTCTATCTCCAGAAGTCCTGCCTGGCTGTTTGGGGGAGTGTGCTCACTGGATGGTCATGAAGGCATTTTTTCCAGGCCACAACTCTACATGGTCCCCTCAGAGCCTGATGAACGCTCCAGACCCAATTCTCAGAATACGTTCCCCCAAACAAATGCACACACGTCCAGGGGTGGCAGCAACCCTCCCCCCACATGCTGTTGTCCCCTGGGCAGCTAGCCCCGGCACACCGTGATGACTTTTTTGATGTGTCAAACCCTCCAGTCATTCAAACGCTAATTTGGGTATTGATATGAAGCCATTCTGCAGATGCTATCAAAGCCCCTAATCAGTCAGCTTTAATTAAGAGATTATCCAGAGTAACCTGGGTGGGCCTGATCACACTTGAAAGGCCTTAAAGGCAGGGCTGTGGCTTTCCCCCAAGAAATCCACCTGAGGGCAGCAGCTTCAACCAAACCTTGAGCTCCAGCTTGCTCACAGATCCTCTCTTCCCAACAAGTGTTCACCCCACCATCAAACAAGCCATTTTCTTGTAATAAACCAAATGTGTGCATACACAGTATATAAAATCTCCTACTGGTTCCACTTCATAGCTTGAACCCTGACAACACTAGTTTTAGGCACAAGCAAAAAATGATTATAAAAATTCTAGGCTGAGTGAGGGGCAGGCACCTGTGGAAAATCTCCAGGAAGCACTCAATCCACCCTTACCAAGACATGGTTTGGAACCTAGGCCCAATCCATTTACTGTAGGTGGCGCTGGGCAACTTAACCTAAGCGTTGAGGTCATCATTTGAAAAATGAGGATACCAGATGCTTGGCAGTGACTGACAGTGCTAGCAAGACCATTAAAACATTTAAACAAGACTGCCCAAACTCAGCTGGTGAGGTTTTATTCAAAACCCATCTCCAGCCAGACTCCCACATCTTTGATTTCTTGACAACTGCAGCCCCAAGGAAATGCAGTCTGCATGCCATATGCTAGTAAGAAGGCGAACACATCCACAAGCTGAGAAGTCTCTAGAAAGCCCAGTCCCAAGCACCCCAGCAGAAGCTTGCCATACTGCTCCTCTAGCCAAGCACCACCGTCCCTTAGCCACTAACCTTATAGAATTTCCTGAGGTTCTCTTTCTGAGTCTGGTTAATGACGGTGAGTACACGGGCGATGGATTTGCGAACAACACGGCTACAAAACAGAGACATTGATCAAGATGGGGAAGACACACAGCACTCCCCAAGGTATCTATTTCAGGGCTTGATCCAGATGTCATAGGGCAGGGGCATTCCCCATCAGCTCACCCACATTCACCCAGGAGGTACCTAACCCAGCCCAGGAAGAAGGTGTTCTGGAGAGAAGAGGACAATAGATGAGTATCCCAGGACTGGGGACATGAACGGCTGGCACATCCAGTGCTTTCGAAGAGTTGTGAAGTGTTCACTGAGGAGGCTTAATGAGGAGAGGTGAAGGGCAGATCAGGAAAGATCTCCCATCCCAGGCCATATATCCTGAGGGCTATGAAGACGACCTAACCAATGCCAATCAGCTAAACGACCTAACCAATGCCAATCTGAATGAGCTGACTGGAGGGAATCATGCTGCAAGCTGCTTAGGGAGTCACAGGAGGGGCCACTGGAGAGGGGACAAGGCTGAAGACAGGAACAGGCTGGGGATAAGTGAGTTTGCAGTCATGTTGAATATGAGTGCTGCTTAGTAAATGACTGGTAAACACAGTCTTGAGGATTCAGCATGCACCACCACAGGAATATTATTGGGTGCCCATTTTGTAATAGAGGAAAGAAAAACCTGGGTGGTGAGCCAATCTACCCACCAAGTAGGATGTGGCAGAAGCGGAATTTATGCCCAGGTTGACTAACTGCAAATCCATGCTCCTTTCACAAATCTTGACTCTTGCTCCACGTACATCAGTAAGTTACACTACAACTCAAGTTAAGGGGTGCAAGGGGTCCCTCAACCAAGTGAGGGGGGATGCGGAAAAAAATCCAAATGCTGGTGGGAGGTAGGAGAAAGGGATCAATGAGACGTTCGAAGGTACCATTAAAATGAGTCTTCAGGGACACCCAGTTCTTTCTCCAGCCAGAGAAGTTGAAGGAGGTTACTCCAGGCAAAAGGACCACAGGTCAAAGGCACGTCACCACGCACCTGGGCATGAGCAAGGGGAGCCTAGAGAGGCTGGCTAGGAAGGGCACGACATTCCGACCCACGGATGCATGGAATGGGCACTTAAACGGACACCTCCTTAAGCCAACTTCGAAAATCCACAAATGTTCCCGACGCATATGTACCCCCCACGCCCAGAGGGCCGTAGTCTGGCCTCCCGTCACTTACATCTTGGAGAGTTTGGAAGCCGCGCCGCCTGTTACTTTAGCCACGCGTAGCTGGGACAGCTCCACTTTCAGGTCCTCCAGCTGTTTCAGCAGCTCCTCCTTCTTCTTGCCGCGAAGGTCTCGAGCCTTAATCTTGGCCTGAGCGAAAGAAAGGGTCTGGGTCAAACACCCAGCGGGGCCGTCTCCCCCTCGGCCACTTACCGAGGCTTCCACCGGCCATCGTCCCCTCCACCTGCGTCGTAATCAGTCCCTGGAGAGCGCGCGCCTCGCCCTGGGCCAGGAGCGCGCTGGAGGCCCAGCACTACCATGCCTTGGGCAGGGCAACCCAGGCCGCAGCAGACGCGCCCTCGCCCAGGCCTGCTGCGAGGCTGGGCCACTACCCCCATTCCGCAGGAGGAAAGACGGAGACCCCGGCGAAGCGCGCGTACCTCTCCTGGTCTAGGCCTACGTGGGGAGTAAGCGAGGGGCCGGCTGGGGCGGCGCTAGGCCATTACGCAGGGCCTCCCACAGGCCGGGTTGGTAGATGGGCTCTCAGGATTCGCCACGCGACTCCCACCCCAGCCCCTAAGCCCCACAGCGCGCGGATGGTGCCCGATTGTCTTACACTCACCATGACTGTAGAGTCGGCCTCCGCCGCCTTCTCGGAGGGAAAGAGGAAGGGGCGGGGCTGACCTCCACAACTACAGCCGGGTGGCGGCGGGCGTGGTCAATAACGCTGGCGGGGGAGCCCTGGCTCCGCCCCTGCCGCCTCACCCACGCGCGAGGAAAGCTGTGGTCCGGCCCGCCGAGCCCCGCCCCGAGGAGCCGGAGACCCGCCCAGCAGTGCCCGCGTCTTCTTCCCGCGCTCTGGAGAATACTTGGGTTCGGTGTATTGCCCAGAGCAGCGCTGTGGGGAAGTCGAGGCCTGGGGTGGCGGCAATTTACTGGACTAGTAAGGACTCGGATTCATCCATTCATTTATTCATTCATTCATTCATTTGGTAAACCTTTGCAGGTCGCCCAGTCTGTGCTACTCCGTGCTGGGCGCCGGTGTTCCGGGGGTACAGAGTATGAAGGTTGAGGGTTTTCAAAGATGAATTAACATGGCCTCTGCCTTGGAGGAATTTAAAGTCCAAGGTGGGCGGGGAAGGGCGGGGTCAGACAACTATAATCCAACTGCAAAAAAATTCTAGTGGAGACTGCATGCGTTAGGGGAAACATTCATGGCCTTTTCTTAGTGAACCTGACCCGGTTTCAAATTCTTATCCTGTTGCCTGGTGCTAGCTGACTCTCCCTTCCCCTCCCTGAGTCTTAGTTTTCTCACCTGTGATATGGGGTATTTATAAGGATCAGGAAGATAACATGTAAAACTCTTAGCACAAGACCTGATGCAGGACTTCCCTGGCGGTCCAGTGGTTAAGACTGAAGTTCCAATGTAGGAGGCAGAGGTTCCATCCCTGGTCGGGGAACTAAGATCCCACATGCCGTGGGGCACGGCCAACAAAACAAAACACCTGATGCATAACAAGTGCTCAAAATATCATCACCATCAATATTCCCAGTTGAATGAACACTTGAGATGGCCTGAAAGTTAAAAGGCGGATTTCACAAGGGAAAGTGCTCAGGCTTTCTGACTGGACGGTTGCATTGTTGCCCCAACCAGCAAGCATGAATCTGTGCTCTAGTGTCACTCCATTGCCCTTAACAAAGGCACACCCACACGTTAGAACTCTAGTTAAAGCCAGGTTGGCCCCTTGCTGCTGTCACGTGTCTCCTCCAGGAAGCCTTCTCCCATCCCCTTATGGGTTTCCGTTAATGGATAGTAGCCTTGGACTAAATTGGGACACAGACGGCCCTTGTGTGCAGAGCTTTCTGGGCAATCCTCTCTTTAGCCCCAAACATACTGAATTAAAATAAATTTATGTATCTATCTCCACAGCCAGCCTGGAAGTTCTCCAGGGGTCAGAACCATGGCTGACACCTGGTTTGGTTTTTCTCATCTCCAGGCCCAGCATATGGATGCTTGTTGGATGAGCTGAATTAATCAGCTTTGCCCAAGATCATGGGGAGGCATGCTTCCAGGAAGTGGAGGGAGGTGGAGAAGAGAGAGCAGAGGACATTCTTGGCATGGATTAGTCTTAAATGGAAGTTGAATGGTGCACAGGGACTTGACTATCATATTTTCCAAATGCTTACAGTTCTATTAAAGGTAATGATTGTGTACATCTTTTCTGAACTTGAAGTCACCTATGACTACCCTGTTTCTCTTACATGCCACATCCAACCCACTCCCAAATTCTGCAGCCTCTTTCTTCAAAATACCCAACCTCTTCCCACCACTGTTACTGGCACCTGCCTGGCCTGAGCTGCCATTGCCTGTCACCTGGACCATTGATGTCATTTCTTAAATCACCTACTTTGGCTCAGGCTCCCATGTGTTCTCAATACACATTTGAGGGACACTTTTCAAGTCAGATCATGTCACTGCTCTGCCCAGAATTTCCAGGGCTGTCCTGAGTTAAGACCACATCCTTTCCTCAGCCTACAAAGCTCTTCAGCACCCGCCCCTCCCCCCCACCTCCCTTCCATCTCATTTCTTCTCACTCTTCTGCTCCAGTATGGCCTTGCTGTTTCTGGAATACACCAAGCCTGCCCTGTCTTTGAGCCTTTGCTCAGCTCCCTCCTTCACTTCCTGCAGGTCCTTGATCAGCGTCACCTCCTCGGGGACACTTCTCTTGACCACTTTATCTGAGTTACTCTCAGAAACTGCATGTTGTTTTTTTCTTCTCCTCAGAATACAGTCATCCCTGACATAGTGTGAATTTTTAATTCTGCCCCCTTGACTGGAATGGAGATCCACGGTCATAAACAGTGACATTATTTCCTTCACCAGTTTATTTGGGGGCTATTTCCTTACTTGTAAAACGGGCATTTTGGTTTAAAATTCCTTCTGATCAGGATGTTCTGGGGATATGAATTTCTGTTGTCTTGTGGCCTCCCTAGGTCACACAGATTTCTTCCAAGGTATGGAGCTGATAGGCCGGTCTTCCAGGACCCCTGATACTTTTTTTTTTTTTTTTTTGCGGTACGCGGGCCTCTCACCGTTGTGGCCTCTCCCGTCGCAGAGCACAGGCTCCGGACGCGCAGGCTCAGCGGCCATGGCTCACGGGCCCAGCTGCTCCGCGGCATGTGGGATCTTCCCGGACCGGGGCACGAACCCGTATCCCCTGCATCGGCAGGCGGACTCTCAACCACTGTGCCACCAGGGAAGCCACCTGATACTTTTATTTAGCACCTGTAGGAGTCTATCTTTAGCACCCAAGATTAGGTAGCATCCTAGTCTGACAATATTTTTTTGATCTGTAGACACAGTTCAATGGGAAGTATTCGAAGCAATGAAAACGAGTCACATCTCATTAACTTCTACTGGTCTTTATTAAAAGGAAAACTATTATATGAAAACAAAGACCCAATGTAGTCTCAGGCTAAGTCTCATTGATAGAACCCCTCAAGCAACAGCCCAGGCACCTAATCTTGGCACTACAATGTTGTCCTTGACTCTGCCCTATCTCTACCCATCTCAGACTCTGGGGGTTCGCTTCCTACCAGGATATTCCTCTCCAGCCAGGCAAGATATCTCAGCCCCCGAGGACCTTGCCCTTCCTGCCAGGATGGTGGCCACAGGGTCATCCCCCTATCCCCGCCCCCTACACACCCGGTCAAGGTGACTGCTACAGACGCGGGGCCGCCGCCCGCTCAAACTCAAATGTCTTCATTGTCTTGTCAGCACCCTGGATACACTTTAAACGTCTTTAAAGTCTGCCAGCCCATTAACAATACGGTCACTACAACAATAAGGCAGACGCAACCTCCACTGAGCTCAGTGGGGTGGCGTCCAAAGCTCCTATAATCCGAGACTTAGGTTCTCCCACCCCAGGTCACTCCCCGGGGCCTAAGAATTACTACTCATCCCTCAGGCCTCAGCTCGAAGGTTTCTTCTCTAAGAAGCCTGCCCGGCACTCGACAGGCCGAGCCGGGCGCCTTATCCTGGGGGCCCCGTGCCCCCTCAGTCTGGGCAGAGATGACACCCGGAGTCGGCGAGGGTGCCCGCCCCGGCCCCCTCGGGTGCAGGAGCGAAGCCGAAGTGCGCAGTTATAGCGTCCACGTGCTAGGCCTGCGCGGGATTGGACGCCTGCTCCTCAGACGGGAAGACTTTACCTCCGTGAAGCCAGGAGTCCCTCGGAGCTCCACAGGCCTCTTTCCCGGCGCTTCCCGACACGCCCCACCCGTCCCTCCCACCTGCACTTCCGGTTCCGGCGTGGGCCGGAAGTGGGCGGGCGGCTGCGGCTGCGCGCGGAGGAGGTGGAGGAGGTGCCGGGTGGCAGCTTCCCGCCCCCGAGCCGGAGCCGGTTCCGAGCGGAGTAGAGTGGAGGTCTTCCCCGGAGCGTAAGTGCCTGAGCGGGCGCCGAGCCCCCACCATGGCCCGGAACACGCTGTCCTCGCGCTTCCGTCGGGTGGACATCGACGAGTTTGACGAGAACAAATTCGTGGACGAACAGGAGGAGGCGGCGGCGGCGGCGGCCGAGCCAGGCCCGGATCCTAGCGAGGTGGACGGGCTCCTGCGGCAATATCCTTCTCCCGCGCGGCGGCCCGGACTCCCCTTTGGCCCGGCCTTCCCACTTCCCTCATCCCCGGCTCCGGCCCTTCAGGCCGACCTCCCCACTCCTCTCAGGCCCGGACCCCTCAGGTCAGTCTCCCGACTCCCTTCCGACCTGGCTCTCCTCGGGCCACGCATCCCCACTTCCCTCTGACCCGGCCTCCCCACTCACCTTGTCCCCGGCCGGAGCCCTCGGAGCCTCCCTCAAAAGCGCGGCCCCACGCGGCCCCCGGATCCTGGTGGGCCGGCCTGCTCGGCGGCCCCAAGAGCGTGCCGGAGGGGGCCTCCGGCTCGTAGGCCCCTCACTCTTGAACGAGACCTCTCCCCTTTCTTCCCCCTTGCCTCCCCACGCCCTCAGGCTGGCCCTTCCTTGGGCGCCCGATCACCCCATCCCTCCCATGCGGGAAACGGGGCTATACTCGGGCATGATCGGCGGGAGGCGCCGAGGTGAGCCACCGCTGAGTAATTGAGCGGCCAGGGCGGCTCCCAGGCACAGTCCTCTCGGGCCGGATTGCAGCACCACCTGAAAATAGGTGGGTGGATGGCTGCGGGGAAGAAAGGCCCCATGGGGGGAGCCAAGGCTGCAGCCTTAGTCCAGCCCTGAGGTTTGAGATCGCACCTCCCACCCCAGAATCATTCTGACCCTGCGGCTTAATGCCACTCTTCCTCACCTATTCTTAGTTATGACCATTCATTGGGCTTTGGACCTCGATGGTCTCAGCCACGTTCAACAAGTGAGTTTTGCCCCCCCCCACGCATAGGCTTCTTGTGCAGGAAGCAGTGGAAAAAACTAGTCGTTTAGAGCTAAGAAAAAACAGCATAAAGTGAGATGTAAAAGTAGAGCCCCACGACTGGAAATGACTGTTCTGTGGTCACAGAAAACAAGCATTTAGAAAACAAGATTAAAAATAGAGTTGGCTGTCACAGCCTGCTTGGTCCCGTAGCAGTTTGAGCACAGGAAACTGACTTATTCTCACAGGAAGGATTTTTCTTTATTCAAATGGTGTTACAGGAAGTGCCTACCCCTCCCCCGCACTGGCCAGGG